CGTCTATGTACACAGAAACCCGGGTCGGAGACATTGGACGTCCATATACACAGGACGGAAGGGTGGAGACATTGTACGTCTATATACACAGGATGAAGGGTGGAGACATTGGACGTCTATATACACAGGATGTAAGGAGGGAGACATTGGACGTCTATATACACAGGACGGAAGGGTGGAGACATTGGACGTCTATATACACAGGATGTGCAAGGAAGGAGACATTGGACGTCTATATACACAGGACGGAAGGGTGGAGACATTGGACGTCTATATACACAGGACGTCAAGGTGGAGACATTGGCCGTCTATATACACAGGACGGAAGGGTGGAGACATTGGACGTCTATATACACAGGACGTCAAGGTGGAGACATTGGACGTCTATATACACAGGACGGAAGGTGGAGACATTGGACGTCTATATACACAGGACGTCAAGGGGGGAGACATTGGACGTCTATATACACAGGACGGAAGGGTGGAGACATTGGACGTCTATATACACAGGATGCAAGGAGGGAGACATTGGACGTCTATGTACACAGGACGCCGGGTCGGAGACATTGGACGTCCATATACACAGGACGGAAGGGTGGAGACATTGGACGTCTATATAGACAGGATGCAAGGAGGGAGACATTGGACGTCTATATACACAGGACGGAAGGGTGGAGACATTGGACGTCTATATACACAGGATGAAGGGTGGAGACTTTGACGTCTATATACACAGGACGCCGGGGTGGAAACATTGGACGTCTATATACACAGGACGGAAGGGTGGAGACATTGGACGTCTATATACACAAGACGGAAGGGTGGAGACATTGGACGTCTATATACACAGGACGTCAGGGTGGAGACATTGGACGTCTATATACACAGGACGTCAGGGTGGAGAGTTTGGACGTCTATATACACAGGACGCCGGGGTGGAGACATTGGACGTCTATATACACAGGACGTGAGGGTGGAGACATTGGACGTCTATATACACAGGACGGAAGGGTGGAGACATTGGACGTTTATATACACAGGATGCAAGGAGGGAGACATTGGACGTCTATATACACAGGACGCAGGGGCGGATACAGTTTTGAGAAAGGGGGTTGGGGGGGTGGGGGGTTGCACACTATGGAGTGCACACTATTTAGTGCACAAATTACACAACTGTTGATAACTTAAGCAAATACATTACATGCATTTTTGTAATCCTTTCTAAACTTCAATAATACTTTATTGATGTTTCACTGCATATCTGTACTGTGTACATTACATGTAGTTATGTCAACCTATCAAAGGTTCAATGATATTGCCTCGTATCAATACCAATATTACATTATGTATCGCTGGATATCTGTGCTATGTACCACTGTGAGTGGTTTAGTGAATACTTGAACTTGAACTTGAGAAAAGGAGGGGTGCACACTTCATTTCCCCGAATTTTCAATGGTCATTTAACAAACGTTCAGCACAAAAGGGGGTGTGCGCACCCCTACAATCTCCCCCCACCTCTGGATCCACTTATGCACAGAACGCTAGGGTGGAGACATTGGACGTCTATATACACAGAACGCCAGGGTGGAGACATTGGACGCCTATATACACAGGACGCCTGGGTGGACACATTGGACGTCTATATACACAGAACGCCAGGGTGGAGACACTGGACGCCTATATACACAGGACGCCTGGGTGGACACATTGGACGTCTATATACACAGGACGCCAGGGTGGAGACACTGGACGCCTATATACACAGGACGCCAGGGTGGAGACACTGGACGCCTATATACACAGGACGCCAGGGTGGAGACATTGGACATCAACATCAACAGGGCACGGTGAAGGACGTGGTACAGACGGCAGACTGGAGACATTGCACGCCAATATACTACTGTCCCCATATGTACTTAAGGCCAGGTCTTAATCAAAAGCATAGATCAAATTATTACATCTTAAAATGACTTTCAACTGTATGCAATGGTTGTGCCAAAAGTACACAATATTAGCCATAATTCGAAAACACATCTGAAATGCGTTCCTACGCAAAGAGTGCATGCTGGTTTGGGTTTCAGTTCTTGGCTGCCCCTTCTCTGTACTAAGATCTCCCCCTCTCTCTCTCTCCCTCTCTCTCTCCCTCCCTCTCTCTCTCTCTCTCACACACAAACACACACACACACTGAGACAGAGCTGTTATTTCGAGTCAGTCAATCTCAAATCTCATGCCTTTTTAAGTTTCATCTTTGGTATTTCAAAGGTACCACGTGACCTGTGTAGCGAAATACCTCCAAGGAATTAGCTTTCTTACGTTTGCACTCACTTTCTGTTGAAATAGATCCAGATACCCTGCACAAACAGACATGCACACACTTATGGGGCAATCGGGCGAATCTAATATAGCGATGGGTTGTGTTTTTTATCGCCGATTTAGAGCTTGTTGAACTAAACTCAATGTAAATAGAGTTACCTCCCTTACACGATGGAACTGGGTTAAACATGAAGCCTGATCCCCGCCCCTTGTCGTGAATGACCATTCCAGAGAAAGACATTCAACATGCGGTGTGCCATAATGGTTGATTCAGATTAAGGCACTAATGAAAGGTTATTACCCGCTGATGTCTTCGTCATGTCTCAAACGTAACCAGTGATGTAATGTAATTATATTGACACGCCAGGGGCGGATACAGCTTTGAGAAAGGGGTGGGTGGGGTGGGGTGGGGTGGGGTGCACAGTTCATTTTCACCCGTTTTCACGAGAGTATCAATGGTCATTTAAAATAAACTTTCAGAACAAAGGGGTGGGGTGTGTGTGTGTGTGTGCACACCCTGCAAAACAGCCCACCCACACCCTCCCTGGATAATAAGCCTTTGACAAATTATTGTAACGCGCTGCGGTAAGAAAGGTGTCATAACGTGGCACAAAAGTAAAGGCAACGCAAGAAATAAATATATCAATTAATTTATTTATATATTTACAGTGAAAAAATTAATTAAAACATTCATAAATTCAGAATAAAATGAATTATGAATGTTCAAAAACATATTTTAGCTTACGCGTGGTCATTGCTACGTAACGCTGTGTATGTCTGGTAACAGACTGCAATCTTTGACACAGGTAACAATGACGCGGCCAAGAATGGAGTGGTGAACATACTCGCTTGCGGATCATCAACTCTGACAGTCACAACAACGCCGTTATGTCACACGTGTAGTGATCTGCGGTGGGGCGGGGATAGCTACATCATAACTGCTTGTCACTTACAATCAGCTATTGACAACATCGGGGACAGGCTCGTGCGACTGTGAGATAATACGCCACCTGTTGGGGACCGTGCAGTGTTTGACCACCGCTCCTAATTAACACCTGCGTTAATTATCTAACTGCATTGATCTCAGGTATGGCACCGTTCCGCTCGTGTGCTAACACTCAGTGGGCTAAATTGCACGCAAATCCGTGTGTTATTGAATATGATGTGAATTGCCCTGCGTATCCGAAGACTTTGTGTCACGGTTACTGAGACTATCAGGCTGGATGTATGCCTGTCATGGTGGCGGATTATTACATCAGAGTCAGGACTTATTCTATCGATAATGTATTACCTGTCAGGTGTTGGAGTCTCTGTTCGCACAATTTACACCTGGTTACCGGGGTACCAGTGATCTTACCTTGTAATTAGACAAGACAAAGAGCGCCCGGTAATACACGAGCGACACATTAACGAGTCGTCGTGTCTATGTTATCGAAGCCCAGCATACAAGCGAGCCCTCTCTCTTCCTGGCCAGATTGTGGGCCCCGCAACATGTCGTAAAGTGACTGTACGTATAGATACAGGGATTAACATGTGACGGGGCTTGTATTTAGTTGATACCCTGCCAATAGGCCAGCCAATTTATAAACGATTGTCGTTGTTGACAAACCAACAGACTGGTGCGTGGGGGTGGCTGCTTGCAGTTTCTTGGAACACAACGATATATACACATATCCCAGTCGTATACACTTACACATTATGGCGACCAGCAAATGTCAGCGCCGCGGTGTGCATCCTCGCCTCATCAACACAGCCGGCGATGTCTGCCGCAACTCAGCCTCTCCGTGCAGCCTCAGTGTGTTCATTTTGAGTAGCGCCAGGCAGTGAAATGAACACACCTCCCATCTAATACAGACATTGAAACTTAATTTGAGAGATATAAACCTTCACAGAATTTAGTCTACAATATATAGTCTAATTCCTTGATCAGCCATGTGTGTGGTGTTTCTTAAATAACTGTGATAAACCATCTGCATATGCCAAATAATGTGCAGGAAAACTAAACAGGCGTCAAGGTCACAGTAAACATGTCATCAGAAGGATGGTTATATGAAAATATTTGGTGTATGCGTCGTTGGCCTAAAGTAATTACCCATGTATTAAGTTTACATGATGACAAAAGTAAAAATGTCGCTATAGATACAGTAACTGGTCTCTGATTTTAAAATCAGAAGGCAGAGGCGATTCCGATGTATGGTTTAACTCCATAATTGCTGTTGCCTGAGGCACAGAGAATATGTATTTGCTTATACCCTCTTTAGTTACGACGACAAAGATAACTGGTATATAAACACGTGTCACAATATTTGCAGTAGGTAGTTGTTACTAGCATACAGTTATTTTTGTCTCTGTTTTTCCCGAAAATCTTTAAAAAGTAATGAATAATTGATGGGCGTGTTTCATTAACAATCGTTAAGTAATCAGCTGTCGTCCTCGCTGCGTTTATGGCACGCCTCCCCGAAAGGTACAATGGTGTGAGTGTTACTGTTATTTCATGGCCTGTGAATTCGTCTGCAAACGGTACATGCTATATAGTGAAGTTTACTGTTATGACCCGCTATAACGATGTAAACAAATGCATGCTCGCTTTGGGCGCAGACATTTTGGTTCATAGTTCACGGGATTTTGGTTCAGACAAACGAAAACACGAGCGGCGATTGGCCAACGACACCTGAGGCCAGAGTTTGCGAGAAGTGGAGCGAGACTTGGCAGCTCAGTGCGCGAAAACATTTCAAATGCGTTCATAGTAGTGAGGGGCCAAGAAGTTTTCGCCTCGAAGATATCAAGTCTGTTTTGTGAGTTCCCCGCGCGTTTCCAAAGGAAACTCTATGAGGATATAGGAGATAACATTTTCTACAAAAATGGCGCGGGGGACTTTTATTATTGGACTGTTATTCCTGTTTGGATTATGCGGTAAGTGAACGTCTGCTCTCTGTGCATAGATTCGTCTGCTATACGCTAGATTTGACACATGTGCCGCCGGGGGCAGTGTGTAATTCCTTAGCCCTCGAGTCCTACTTGTATTGTATTGGGGAATAATCAATGCCTCTTCACGCTTTGTTGACTCGTAACAAGGTATGGGGAGTAGTGGTACAGAGGACACTACATTAATCCGAAACCTACACTTTCAAATTGCAAAGTGAGGTTGTCTTACTTTCAATAGAGTCCGTGTATGAATCGTAGTACTATGATGGTTTACCTTGTGAATGAAGTAGAGTATTGTAGCATCGCGGCGTGTTTGCACTGCGTATAGATTATGAAAGGGGCGGAGGAACTATGAAACTGAAGCATATGGAAATTACTTCCATGTTTTCGTGGAGTTATATCAGTGTGCTCAACAGGCAAATATTTTGTATACGAACTAAAGACAGTGAGTAGTTAATTGATTGATTCAGACTGGTGTATGCATCTCCAATCACGCAAGCCGGTCAATAAAAGACCAGTTCATTGAGATCAAGTCGAGCATTGTTCAGACACATAAGCAACGAACGTGGAAATGGTTTCCGTACGGAATGTCGCCGTAGGTGCAGGCTGTATAGAGAGGTCAGGCCGCGGGATTCCAAACTCTGTTCCGTGGCACTGTAGAAACCCGAGCCTTGGGTCAGAAGCCGTGATACCAGTAGGTTTTGTACAGTTCCTCCCGCATATCAAGCACTTCCGATGCTGATTTAGCACCCACCTATTCGGACTAACTGGCATATGCCCTAAAAAACCTTATTGACAATCTCGACAACCAACCAGGCCGATGTGAAAACGAAGGCTCCGAGAAAGTTTAGTGAATGTCGTGTTGTTTTTCAACGGATGAAGATATCAATTTTCAGTAAAAACTCCCCAGACGTAAAAAGAAGTCGACGGTCAGATAACGGTTTCAGAATCTCGCATAGCGCCGAAATATTATCGCCAACCTCAAAGAGAGTTTGGGCAGAAAGTGTTATTGTATGCAGGTCTGCTTTTAGGCTTTACCAGCTCTTGCCATGGTATGCGAGGCGAGAAGTCACTCGTAACAGCACTAAAATAAACTTCTCCTGTCTAACTAGAAGCAGACATTCTGCCAATTATGTTTACATGTATATTTCGCGGATATATAGCAGCCTTCACCAGAATAGTAGCCAGAGGAATTACATAGATTTAGGTTAATGTTTTCCGCGCTCATCTCATCAAAATTACCCCACAACTCATGCAGTGTGTTCAATACATCACAGTTAACATTGTGTGTTAATAAATCAAACATGCGTATTATCACGAAATTCCATTTTATTGACTTTTCCAATATAAAACATTTTGATTCGATACAAATTAATAAAGCAGACATATGCTGGTATTAAATGTTCTTATTGACCAAATTGAATGTTTAATATCTTCTGTTTACATGCTTGCTTAAAGCATGTTAGGTCCTAATGCATTAGAAAAGTATTGTTTGAGTCTGGAGGTGTTTTTACAAGGCTATTGAAAGTACATAATTTACATGTGATATGAGAACATTTCTTTTGTTAGTTGAGATTACAAGATACTGTTTAAAGTGTATTTCCTTGCATCTTTTGAAAATGTATATTTTCTTATCTGTAATAGGAAAAACCAGAAAGGATGGCTGTATCACTTCTTATTCATCAGAATGTTATATTTTATGCTTAACTTCATTTTTTAAATTGTCTTTTGTCTCAGTAAATCAGTTCAAATTTTTCTTATACCTGAAACTTAGCATTCAAGGGGAACATAAAAAAATAAATGAAAATGCTTAAATAGTTGCAAAATTAATATCACTTGTTTGCTGTAACAATGAAACCCACAGTTCTTTCTTGTCTCATCAAGGGGCTGCTGAATACATCAACTGATGGATACAAATTGTGCATAGGTGCATGGCAGGCCTAAACCCTCTCGCACATGACCTCATGATGAACGTAAATAAATTGAATCCAGATAATACCATTTCTATGAAGTGTGTGGCTGTCATCAGTCTAATGTACAAGTATTTGTTGCTCCTGATAGACATGCCACTCCAGACATAACCCATACAGTTGGGTAGACCACAGAACACAGCAAGCGATTAGAAGAGCAAGGTAATACATACCTGATGAACATTAGCAAACAATGAAAGGAGCCGTTGATGTGTTTATCACTCACTCTATTCTATAAATCATACATTCACTGTTTTTTCCTCTTGTCTGAGAAGCACAAGGGCAGAGTGGTGCAGTTGCCTTCACTATTTGCAGCTAGAGTTTATACAGAGCCGACTGAATACAAAATCTGTAGCATTGGGAGGGTATTATTCAAGAAGAAAGGTCATATTATAAGAAACTGTTAGAAATACCTGAAACCATGTACGTTTTGCAAATGGAAATGGTGAGTTGTACATGGTTTCAGGTATTTCAGATCAGAATGGGCAATGTTACCACAGATTTGGTTGATATGGGTTCTTATCATCATTTGTTTTTGCAACATTTTAGAACAGTGATGTTATCTAGAACAGATTAGGGGCTGAATGTACACATTAGGCATATACAGTCTGTACAATGTTATTTAACTGCAAATGTCTTTCCATTTTTGGGGTGCATTTTTTATGTTATCTATCTGCCAATAAATACACTAGGAATCTCTCTCTGCCTATTCTTGGAAGCATTGTGTGATGTAGTTAGACTTTAGAACAAAGTCTTTCAGGGAAACACTCCCTGAAACAGGAGAGATTTCTATCTGGGCTCTGGTTACATGGAACCACAACTTGGTGAATTTCATCAAAGCCAATGTTCCTATATAACTGCAGATATGAGGATAGACCAAGATGTTATCAGTCCTCTCAGCTAGTTGCCCCTCTCCTGTTTCTGGTATTGAGGTATTATTGTGTGTTTCTTATCAGAATGTGTTTGTTTTGCGGTGGTTGTGCAAGGTGTAACGCTCTGGCTTCCCTGCCTTTGCCATGTTCCATGCCACGCAAGACCTGACAAAAGTCGCTCCTTTTACACATGCAGGGTTGGTTTATACAGAGACAGCACAGAACCTCTTTGAAGTTTGGCGTGTTCAGATCTCAGAAATCAGATTGTCTTCAAATCTTGCAAAAGAGACACCTTTCAATATATTCAAATATAGCTATGTAATAAATCAACACTAATAATTTATGATGGTTATCACTGTCTGACTCATAAAAGATAAGTGTAAGAATCCCCAGAGTGATGATAGGACGTCAGTTTTTTATGTCACTGAAATATCCAGTACTCAAAACACATGGTTAGAAGCAGAAAATATTTCACCAGACTCCTGACGAACAAATAAATATCCTACATAAGTCTATTACATAGTTTGTGCATGGTTTGAAAAGTGACAGTTGAAAAGAGTGTTTAATGTTTATTTTCATGAATATTACCAGAGACCATATACCAATATACGGTCTCTGATATTACTGATTATTATACCAGGTCATGTGGAAGAATGTTAAGTTTGACATGTAATTGTGTATAATGGCTTGTCCCTTACATTTCTGTTGAAGGCTGCTAAAATGATATAATGTTCAACAACACAAGAAACTGGTGGACTATGTCAGTGTGTGTTTGGAATGTGTGTGTATGTGGGGCCAGTGTCCCCTTAGGGTCCAGTAGAGCTGTGTTTGGAATGTGTGTGTATGTGGGGCCAGTGTCCCCTTAGGGTCCAGTAGAGCTGTGTTTGGAATGTGTGTGTATGTGGGGCCAGTGTCCCATTAGGGTCCAGTAGATCTGTGTTTGGAATGTGGGGCCAGTGTCCCCTTAGGGTCCAGTAGAGCTGTGTTTGGAATGTGTGTGTATGTGGGGCCAGTGTCCCCTTAGGGTCCAGTAGATCTGTGTTTGGAATGTGTGTGTATGTGGGTCCAGTGTCCCCTTAGGGTCCAGTAGAGCTGTGTTTGGAATGTGTGTGCATGTGGGGCCAGTGTCCCTTTAGGGTCCAGTAGAGTGTGTGTTTGCCCAGATGTCAGAGGAGGTTGGTGTGGGTGATGAAAGGGATGGGACTCCATGCCCTGCTGACCTCCCCTATAGTTCTACTTCATACCTTGTGGCAAAGGTATGCAGAGTCACACCCCTCCACTCCATCACCTCCCTCATGAATTATCTCCATATAAGCTATGCCATTAATATTCATCTCATGTGGGACCCAGCAGAATGCTGAGATATTTACTGTTGCAGTCTGTCATGTTGGGGTGTTTTAGCAGTGTAGTTAGTTGGCTGATGTTGGTGAATATCTGGGCAGCACTCCCCTGTGTGCAAGTCTTTTCCCTCCCTCCCCCTCCCAGCTGTTGACTCTTATCCCTTTCTCCCCCAACCACCCCTTCCCCCAATGCAACAGCTTGGGATTTCAGAGGTTATTATGTTCTCATGCAATGTGTTAGAAAGTGGCCATCTGACCTGAACAGAATGGCTTTATTGCATCTTTGAAATTCTGTCTGATGGCATACTTTAAATGGCAAGACCTCTGATGTTGTGGTTGAGTGGTCCCAAGCCTGTGAACTATTATGCATTTTGAGAATGCTTTATTGGTGTTGACAGTTTAGCCATGATTCAGTGATCTCCAGCCGGCACAGAGCTAAGGCCACAACAGTTGTAGTCAGTTCAGGACCGACTTTAATGGTGCTCAACCATGACAACAAACTTACTGTGTTCCAAAACATTGTCAAATAACACATGGATCATGTGGACTTATAAACACAAAGTCAGAGCAGTCACTTTTCAAATTTCTTCTGACAATGTAGGTTATGTGTGCTATTGAATATGCATGGGCCATATTTTAATCACTCCTTAACTTGTGACCATCTGGAAAAATACTGATCTTAAGTGAATAATATAAAATTCCACAACACATTTGAAAACTTCAGACTATAAGTGTTTATGTAACATGAACAAAATGTATACAGTGTTGCAAATATATATGGAGCTGTATTCATAAATATGAATGAG